GAAAGGCACTTTACACGAATTTTGTTTCACTTCACCCAGGTGAGAATGGGTACCCGGCCATGGACAGTGATGGATCTTGTCAGTATGTTAGTGTTTTAGCGCCTATACATGGCGCTTGCATTGTATGCTTCCTAGAAAGTTGAGGTTGTTTAAGAATGCTCTCAGGTCTACTGGGGTAATAGTATAGATCGTAAAGCGCATAGAGCTTGCTGTTGAGCGGGGATTTGCGCCATACAAATGCTATCTATCTATTATTACAAAACTGGGGGTAATGGAAACAACAATTGTATTCTTCAAAGAGAAAATCATAAACGATACGCAATATTATCATACTAAATATCGAGGGATACTGTGGATTTGGGGATTTTTTTTAAAGTATAATATTCGCACGACATACTTAGGGAACCTACACAAATGGGTAACAGGGAAAGATCAGGGAAACGTAGCTTTTCTGAGAGCATCCGAGCAAAGGAATGAATGGAAAATCATGATCGCCGATGTCTGTCGCAGATCTGGCACTGGATGATGATGATTCGCATGACAATTCTGATGATAAGATACAGGAGAGTACGGGATTTTCTGGAAATTCCTATATTTGCTAAATTTGGCGAATAACGTGTTTTACAGTCCTGCCAGGTAAATAAATGTATAATGGATTTGGGTTGTAGTTAAACACACAAGGACATGAGCTTTTTAATGCTTCATGCATTTTTTTTTGGGGGGGGGCATGTTTTGTTTTTTTGGTGGAGTTTTTAAAAATTATTTAAATGCAGACAGGTCCGTATTGGAATACACTTAGCAAACATACAGGTGAACGAAGGCGTATGTGTGTGCTTCTATTAGAATATGTCACACAGGAACTAATCATCTGTGAGGCAGCGAGGTGGAATCAGGCTCTCGTAAATTTTTTGGAATGTAGAGTTATCGGTATTATCTTACAGCTTGTTCACTTGTCTTTATTTGGATGAAAAAAAATATCCATATATTATCTTGAGTACAAGTCGAGATATTTGCGAAAGAAGGAGGTGGGGGCACCTGTTTTCAGAGGTAAAATTAGTGAAAAAATGACCATCAAAGATTAGTTATTTCCTTAGCTTAAGAGTCCGTCGTGATTGAAAATTTACATTTTTTGTGCCTTTAATCAACGTTTTTCTGAAAAATTCACACTTTTACTTTACTTTACTTTTCCGATCCAGCGACCATTTGGGTTCTAGCCCTTCGGTCTGAAAAAAAATCACACAAAAATGAGTTCTTTAATGGGCATAAAAGGTGTGGAGCCAAAAAGCAATAATTTGATAAAAATTCACAAACCTGTGAAAGAATGCAAGTTTCTTCACTTTGATTATTTTGACGAGAGCCTGATTCCACCACACTGCCTCACATTTGAACTTGGAGTAATAGGTGAGTTTTCAAACTACATTTTTTTTTTAGTAGAGGTTTTACGACACTCGCAACTGCATAATAAGGTCATATGTGCGCCATCCAACTACTCTTACAACAAGGCTCGGTTCTTTCCGAGATGAACGTCAATTTCGAAGGTTTCGAGTCTTAAATGACACCTTACAGGTTTGGACGCAAGCATTACAGCAGCAGCAACAACAACAATAACAGCAACAACAACAACAACAACAACGACAATAACAGCAACGACGACAACGACGACAGCAACAACAGCAATAGCATTAACAACAACAATAACAACAACGATAACAACAACAACAACAACAACAACAACAACAACAACAACAAAATAATAACAGCATCACCAAGAACAAGAACAACATCAACATCAACAACAACAACAGCAATAACAACAACAACAACAACAACAACAACAACAACAACAACAACAACAAGGCAACTGAAAACAGCAAACCGACCAAAACACGCAACTCTCCACGCAAGAAACAACACGCCGTTGTAAGGCAAAGATTTCATCTTGAGAGGTTTACGGGGCTTTAAAAACAAACAAACAAAACTTGTCCCATAAATCATCTCTGGCGTCTTCTTCACTCGCTAATCTCTTTTCCCACCGACGAGTCACACACACACACACACACACACACACACACACACACACACACACACACACACACACACACACGTACAC